TTGAGAAGGGATACCGCAATATCAATTTTGTATGTGGGGTTAAATGGCCATAGGTGGTTATGTTATTTTCCTTGTTATGGATGAGCTTGTTTTATTTAGTTTAATTACAAAACTCCAATTATACGGTTGTTTTCTAATTCAGCCTGCTATTAGAGAGAACAAAGAAATGATAGAATACCTACTTTCAACAATAACAGTCTCCAATTTAGTAGTGGTACATAACCATTTTAACCATTTACTAATGTAGTTGAAGTGGCAAGCAAACTACTATCAATTACTAATTTAAATGACAGGACCAAGATTACGGCATAGAAGGGTGAGCAGATGTTTTTAGATTGTTTGACGTGTTAGGGACTGCCACCCTGTAAATTTGCCTTCTACACATCATATACTGTATAGGCAATGGATAACCTGCCTGAGAAGATGAGGGTAGTTTGAGGGTCGAATTGGCCATTCGCCCTCAGACTACTCTCCCACTCCCCAGGCTGCTGGCAGCACTCCGCCGCAGTCAAGAAAGCATCAAGGGTTGTTTAATGGTTTAGAGCATATAAATGTGTTAAGCATCAAGCATGTGATGAAAAGGGTAAAAATAATTTAACGATTAGGATAAAATGTTTTTCAAGTCAAATGGTATTTAGAAAGTAAAGACGTAAAGAGAATATCAGTGTGGAAGGGAGAGGAACATTTTATAAGTAAAACTGGAAAAGGTGCCATTATGAAAGTCAACAAGTAATACGGGTAGAGATAGGTGTCAGAGAAATAGGAGGAAAATAATCTGGGGAATGATATAAGGGAACAGGGGAAGGTGGAAAGGTATCAGGGATAATGTCAGGAGGGAGGGGTTTGGAGGACACTGTTGTGACAGAAGGGAGTCACATGAGCATCCAGGTAGGAGTGGTAAGGATAAAGGGGAAAGAAGAGGGAGTGGTGGTACACGTGGAGGAGAGGATGGGGTGTTTTGGGGAGAGAGGGGAAACTTGAGGAGTATCAGCAAATACTTTAAATGCATAGTGAATAGTAATAGAAGGTCTGAAAGATGGATGAGAGAGTGAAGCATTCTCTTGGGTTATGTTTAGGAAGTTTTTTTTTTTATGTCAAGAATTTCTGGAGGGGAGTTGGGTGGGGAAGTCTGAGAAACAAAGGTTTTCTTGTGAGGAGCAGAGGAAGAGGTGGGTGTAGGAGAGTAAAGTAGGAGAATATGGGGTGGAATATTTAGATGCCTCTTACGATAGATAAGTGAGAAAAGAGTAGGGTTGGCATCGAGGAAGTGACATATGAGTACTGGATTTAGAATTGCTAACTAAGATTCGAGCTTATATGTAGGACAACTATAAATTATTTATGGGAGCCTCCACAATTGGCAAACGTGTATAACTGAGCAGGGCAATTTGAACGTTCATGGCCAGGTTGGGCACCCAGAGGGCAGCAAGGCTGTAGAGTTACAGCATTTAGTTGGGTGTTTAAAACGCAACATTTCTGCACTAGCGGGGAAGGACACTCCACCAATATATACTTCATGGAGAAGGTCGTCTCAGCGGAAGCTAATCTTGTTATAGATGGGTACGGTCCAGTTCAGTAATATTTACGAATTCTGCTTTAGCTCGGGCCTTTTCTCAGGAGTGGCCCGGCCAATGGAGATGGGAACTGTTTCGGTACAAGTATGAAGAGAGGAGGGAGGTTCGGCAGGAATAGCTTTGCCAGTGAGGTCAGTCAGGGTAGATAGAGCACCAGCTTGGCACTCAGATGTAACTGTAAGAAGGCATGAACGATCGGAACGAAATGAAACGCATACTTGTTTTAGAGATTGTTAGTAGAGAAGGGTATTGTCGGATTAAAGGGTTGTACGGGGAACACAAAGAATCGATCCCAATTAGCTCGACCAAAAGAGTGCTTAAAAGGTTTGCAGAGGTGGAATCAGTAGAAGGACGGAGGCGGGAGGAAGGTGTGGTGGTATGGAGTGAGGCAGTACTGTGGGGAGGACAATAAGGTTGAAGAGTAGCAATGAAGGAGAAGGTGGTAGACAATGAAGAAGACTGTGTAGCAGATGGAGTGGAGGATGTAGGGAGGGGAAGATGCATATTCTGAAGCTTGAATAATGATCAGTGTGGATGATTCGGAAAAGATAGAGTTGTTAGTAAACATCGAGGAGAGTGCATTTGTCAGATTTGTGGTAAAAGGAAAGGCAAGGCTTGGTAAACCAGAGAAATCAAATTTAGATAGGCTAGTTCATGAAGGGGCAAGTTTTAATGTCCCTAACATGGGTAAAAATGGTGAGCCTAAAATAAGTGGGGAAAGAAACAATTTGCCCCTCAGGGTTCCCAAAAGAGACAAAGGTTCACCAAGGGAATACAATTTTATAAGTAGAGAATGATTTCATAGATTGTTTTTTTCTTTTATACACACACACACACACTCTGCCTCGGTACTGCTGCTTATCCAATTTGTAGCCTCTACCTCCATAGTTGGCAAGCCTCTGCCGTCACCGAAGCCGTGGCCCTGAGCTACCATATAATCATTACAGGCCATTCACTACATGCTTACTCCTTTATTAAACTCATTTTAACGTTCTTGACCCTTCGCAGTCACCACGAACAACACGCAGCACATCCTTTACCTGGGATGGGGCCGATAACGAGGTAACCGATAGACACAACAAGCATCGTCGCCCCAAACGTCGGCACGAAGTCGTCCAGTCCCATGTAGTCGATCATGATTAGAACGTAGATGCTCATGATGATCCCTTCGCCGATGCCCCACACTGCTAGGACGACCGTCAGCCACAGGACGTCCTCTATTTGCGTAAAGGCTGTGGGATGGCATGAGAAATCCTGAAGAAAATGGCATGGAACTCCCGTGGAAATTTATCGGTGAAAGAGAGACGTGTGTTGTGCACATTTTGATATTGGATAGATTTTAATGAAAGGTGAAAACAGCAGCTTTTGTCTTTGCTGGTTTTACCTGGAAATAAAATTGGACATGGAATACTGATTGGTAAGGTGATTTCTCTCCACCGGAAGTAAGACGTTTTGACAAAGGTTGCTTCTCTCTCTCTAAAAAAATGGTCTCTGAAAATGATCACTTTAACAGAGCTTTACCGGAATGCACATTGTATATCCTTTAATATCCATCTGCTTGTTTATCTACCTGCCTATCAAATTACAAGGTGTCTTCAAGCTTTTCAAACTGAATAATTTATGGTGGGGAGTCAAAAGAAAAGACGTTGCTCACCTAGCATTGAAAGGGCGACCACGAGGCTGCCCAGCATGAAGAAAACCCTCATGTTGAACTTGGGCAAGTCCGTGAGCGGCGACAGGATGACGCGGATCAGCATGCCGCATAGGGCCGCCACCGAGACTCCTGTTGCGACGTCTTGCAGGCTGTGGCCGGCCTCTTGCATGGCGAAGGTAGGACGTTTAAGAAGTTCTCGTTGGCGTTGAGGGTGAGTGTTATGCTGATGGCGATGACGACAGCTCTCGCGTGTTTCAGGATGCAAAGGTCCGCCAGCGTGGCTTTGATCAGACGAACTATAGTTGAATCTTCCTGCTTTTTGGTATTCTCTTTGGCAGCAGGATGTGGCGACTTCTGGAGCTCTGGAATTCCGTCTGGTAAACGATGGGCTTGTGGAACTTGCTCCTGCGACTGGATAGCTTGCCTGGCTGTATCTGGTGACCAGGGAGATTTTGGCTTTTCTTCTTGTGGTTGCCTGCTAAGGACATTTTCTGCAGATGTCTGAGAATCTGGACTCTCGTTTGATAACGTGGATGAATCAGAAACATTTTCTTGTGAGGACTCTGGCTTCACGCCCTCTGACTTCTCCAAAGGCTTCAAATGCCACTCAACCGGATGGAAAACTGCAGCTCCGACAGCGCAGTTAAAGACGACAGCTCCAGCACTAGCGTAGCGCCTCGAAACCCGTACTGTGTCTGAAGGAAGTTGATGAGAGGAGGCCCCAGGAACTGGCCGCCCCCCTCCCAGGCCATGAGGACTCCGTTGGCCAGGCCTCGCCGTTTGTTGAAGTAGAACGGCACGATCATACAACTAATGTTGTATAGGACACCGCAGCCAAGACCTACAAATGATATGGGTGTAAGGACGTGGTATAAGTCAACTAGAATGATCTATTACAAGGACAGTAATAAAAATGTGCTCAATATGGACAAGACTAATTTGTTTTGCTTGATAAAACCATCATTGGATAGAACGGGTCATATTAAACCAACATTTCATGTTTGAAATAAAGCATGCCTCGAAAGCTGCATGAGATTTCCCAATTGTGGGACATTGCAATGCATTTACTACTAAATGTAGATGCCGATTACTTTTATACTTATTTCGCTCCAGGATTATTTATATAATTCATAACGCAATAACCGGATGCTTAATTTACATATCAAAATAAAACAAGTGATGCGCGCCGTGAAGAGGAATTGCAATAACGGATGCAAGTTCTGCCAATGTCTCATCCCTGCCTGCTTATCCGTCTGTCCATCTCGCTCGCTCTCTCTCTCCACCGACCTCTACCTACCCACAAACGTGCTGTAAGTGAGGAACAGCATCCCAGCGGAGGTGACAAAGGCCGACATCACCGTCCCGGCAGCGAGGACGACGGAGGCCCCCAGCGCACGATCCTCCAGCCGAATTCGCCTTCGAGTGGTCCCAGGAACGGGCCTGTGATGGACCACAAGAAGCTGGCGACGTTGAAGATCCAGCTGCTCGTGGTGAGGTCGGTTCCCAGGTCCAGGAGGAAGCTGGAGAAGATCACGCCGAAGCATTGGCCTATCGTGTCGACCAGTACCTGACGGGAAAGACGTGTATATATATATATATATATATATATATATATATATATATATATATATATACATATGTATATGTATACATATACATATATATAAATGTGTGTGTGTTATTGCATATATATACATAAATATACATTTATATATATATATAATATATATATATATATATTATATATATATATATATATATATATATATATA